TACTGGGCCACAAGGCTGTTTAACGGAAAACCTCATCACTCTCACGCGGAGTGCCTGGTGGATTTGAGCTACTGACAGCGGGGTTCGCAGCCAGATTTTTAACCACTACACTACCAGGCCTTCCACCTTCAAGATGGCAGATCGGGCAGATATGTAGTGAGGAGCTCGGTCAACAACAACATGGAATACTGGGCCAAGAGGACTCATGAGATGGTGTTGGAACTCTGTAACAAATATAAAGGTATGTTTGGAGGTTTGGAGGGTTTATAGCTGGGGAATTTGCAGGAGAATCCAGAAATCCATTATTTTCTGGATCAAGACACTCAGCTGTTCCAGGAGCCGCCATCTTGGGAAAACTTATCTTGATTGTAGCAGGATTGATAAGATTAGGAGAGAACATCTTGATTGTATCTTGATTATATCAGGATTGTATCAAGATTAACATCGAAATATAAAGAAATAGTATAGCTATAAAACCAAACGGCCACCACTTGTCTGTCTGTCGTGCTTTGGTGATTTGAATTGCTGTGATTCTGAGGGCTATGCCACTGGTGTTTTAGATAACCAGCAGGGTCACCTATGGTGGACAGGTTTCAGATGAGCTACAAAACAAAGACAGACTAGGAAGAAAGAGTGACAAACTACTTCTGAATCGCTAGTCACTGAAAACTCTATGAATAGCAGAGAAACATTGTCAGATACAGGACAGGAAGGGGGGAAGGCACTCAGAATGCGACTGGGGAAAAAAATGCCTCCTCAAAGTAGAGTTGACCATAATGACATGAATAGAGTTAAGCTCGGGGGAGAAAAGCGCATAGAACCTGCATTTGCTGATGGGCAACAATTCAAAATGAAGAGAAACAGATGTAAACATCCATGGAAAATTGGAACATGGAATGTATGAAGTATGAATCTGGGAAATTGGAAGTTGTCAAAAATGAAATGGAACGCATAAACATCGATATCTTAGGCATTAGTGATCTGAAATGGACTGGTATTGACCATTTTGAATCGATAACCACATGGTTTACTATGCAGGGAATGACAAATTGAAAAGGAATGGTGTTGCATTCATCGTCAAAAAGAACATATCCAGATCAGTCATGAGGTACAATGCTGTAAGTGATAGGATAATATCCGTGCGCCTATAGGGAAGCCCAGTTAATACCACTATTATTCAAATTTATTCGCCAACCACTAAAGCCAGTGAAGATGAAATAGAAGAATTCTACCAACTTCTTCAGTCTGAAATCGATCAAACATGCAATCAAGATGTATTGCTCATTACTGGTGACTGGAATGCAAAAGTAGGGAGCAAAGAGGAAGACTTCCAATGAGAAGGATTGGTGAAGAGGCAACAACAATGGTTCAAGAGTTACAATTGTCAGGATTGCAAAGTACCGGGCATTGTTTTATTCTGTTGTGCGTGGCGTCTCTATGAGTCAGAACTCATCATAAGGCACCTAACAGCAAAAATCTTCCCAACTGGTCTCAAGATGGTTTTAGCAAATGAAAGAACTATAGATTGAATAAGTTTATGTGTAATTATATAGTAACAGTGGTAAGGTATGTTGATGTTGTTGTTGTTAATTGCTGTCGAGTTGATTCTGACCCATAGCGACCTTGTATAGATTTCCAAGGAGAAGCTAGTGAGCTTGAACTACCGAACTTGCAGTTCAAACGATTTGGCAGTCTGACAGATTATTTCACAGTGACACACCAGGACTGATAGGCAAATGAAAACATTGAATTCAAAAAAATCAAAAGTTTTTAAGCGAACTTAGAAAAATGAAAAATCTGAATGAAAAAAATCACACATTTTCATCATCAAATATTAAGTCTTGGTTAAAATATTATAAAATTTACTGGGTGTATGATTAATCTAGGTGTTGGACTACTAACCAAAAGTATAGTGAATCAAATCCACTCATCCTAAACACCATACTGGGTCACCATGAGTTTGAGCCAACTCACAGGAAGTTAAAAACAACAATGGATTAACTGAATGCCAATTCTTTGCTTGTTATATTATAATACCTGACAATTTCAGAATAAATCAAAAGACATACAACTACAATCCACATTCTTCAGAATAAATCAAAAGACATACAACTACAATCCACATTCTTCCAAGTTAGGAAAAGTGTATGTTAAACTAATTTGACAAAATTTGAAAAGGTGGTTGACAACTCTAAGGAGGAGATATCAGGTTTGTCCATATTGAACACAATGAGAATTGAGCAGAGAAAAGCATAGACAATGCTTGATAAAATATACAAAATATAGATTAAGGCTCAAGAATCAATCAATTAGTTATAGAAAAAATATATTGCTGAGTTTGCATTTTTTAAATATAATAGCTATGTTTATGAACACATTTTTATGTTCACACATTTCAAGTGTAGTTGCATGCCCAATATTGGATATGCGTTCCATGATACAATTATTTAGTAAGAAACATCTGCTTTCAGATAAAAATGAAAGACTAGAATCCAACTGGGAAATTATTGTGGGTCCACATGTACAAGACGTGTAACACCAAGCTGAATGGAAACAAATAGAAAGGACAAATGGCATGCTGCGGGTCTTACAGGGACAGGACACCAATAATCCTGAATTCTAATGATCCTGCAATCACAATGGAGTCCTAGTGGAGTACTGGGTTACTCATTGGGCAGGTAATCAAATTGACAATAAATGTGTTGCGCTAATCAGGAGCTTTGGATATTGAGCCTCCAGGGATAAAGAGACTGCAAATACTGTGCCTGTGGTATCTCACTTCAGAGTACTTCTGCAATAAGCAGTCATAACAGAAAACCCTCTTCCACGAGATGAGAATTTTTGTCCAGAAACCTTGTACTTCACTTAGACCCTCTGTCCTGGCTGAATACAGATCTTCTGTTCCACATCCAGCAAAAATATCAGGCGTCATTCCACAGAGATGTCAGCAAGGTAACAAAAACACCCTAGTTAATATTTTGTAAGGCCAGGAATTTATTTATTTATTTATTTATTTATTTATTTATTTATTTATTTATTTATTTATTTATTTTATTTGTCTATTTATTTTTACTATAAATGCAACAGAAGAATGATGTATGTGAAGAAATTGCAAGCAACAAATGATGGAACTAAGTGTATCATGGGAATCGTGCTTGTCTGGCAATTTCTTGTTGGGTTTCCTTATATATTTGGACTTATATTAAAGAGCTGTTAATCAACTAGTCTTATGCACTGTCTCTATTGCAAGGACAATTTTCCTATTGAGCAATAACCTTACCTACATGACATTTGTTACATTCTCTGGCATTTAGAGACATCCTTTAGCTGATGGTGGAGGAGGGTTTTTCTATTTCATTTTATAATTGCCAAGGTTCAGAAAAAGATTAATTGTGCTCTGGCTGTAGAATTTATTTTAATCAAGATTTTAGAAAAGACAAATGTATCATTATTTTCAGTATATTTTGCCCATTTTCTACAAACTTTTGTATTCCCTTATTAAAAAAATGTTTTAGGCTGAGCTATACCATAAATGCGCTGCCATCTTCACTTTTTCTTCAGAAGTGAATCTACATCTTTGAAGGGCTGCTTTTACAGGACCAAATCAGGACTATAGATAGGGTGGATGCTTTAAGACTTCAAAATGAGAGTTTCTGCAGAATGTTAACAGTGTAGACAGAGGTGTGGGTCATGTATTGCAAGGTCACCAATCCATAGGATAGCAGTCTTCTGCTTTAATTCAAAATTTAGGCTTCATCACTTCAGTGAGAATCTCACTTTATGAAACACTGCTTATTGGTGAACATGTTTCCTGCAGTGTTCCAAACCTGGCCATTGTTGTTGTTTTTGATGTTGGGTTCCTTTGAGTGGGTACCAACTCATAGCGAACTTAAGATCACCAAGCTCTATGAGAGCAGACTTCTGCTTTAATTCAAAGTTTAGGCTTCAGCTCTTCAGTGAGAATCTCACTGTCAGAAGCACTGCCTATTGGTGAACGTTTTTTCCTGCAGTGTTCCAATTCTGGCCCTTGCTGTTGTTTTTGATGTTAGGTTCCATTGAATCAGTACCAATTCATAGTGAACTTATGTACAACAGAACAAAACACTGCCCAGTCCTTCACCATCCTCACGTTCGTTACTACCCTTGAGTCCATTCCTGCTTCCACTGTCCCAATCCATTTTGTTGGAGGTCTTCTTTTTCACTTAACCTCCAATTCACCAAGCATGTTGTCCTTCTTGAAAGATAGGAGCCTGCTGATAATATGTCAGAAGTATGAGAGTTGAAGTCTGATTATCCTAGCTTCTAAGGAGCAGACTTATTGTACTTCTTCCTACATCGATTTGTGTGTTATTTAGCTGTCCCTTGAGAATCCCAGAAAACAGCAAGCATCAGTTTTCTAGTTGATGTATGGCTTTTGTACATTTTCTTTGTAGAAAATCGAGGGTGTTTCCATTCCATATTCTGTTATTTTCTCTCAGACTCATAGTTGTGAATACATGTCTCATCACCAGTAACAACTTTTTAAAGAAACTTGTTTCTCTCAAAGGAGAGTTTTGATTATCATGATGAATTTTGTTTGCAGATATCCATGTTCACACCTTCAAAGTACTGACCTTGAAAAGAAGTGCTGATAAGACAGTGCAGCTAATAGTTTTAGTATGACTGGAGTACAGATTATTTTGACTCATTCTAGTAATAATTAGTAGATATGTAAGTTATCTGTATAGCCCAGGTCTGATGTCTGGGGAAGGGCATGGAAAACCACACTGATCCACAAAGCTTCCTCTTGAGTCTATTTTTATTTATAAAATTACCATGAATTTTAAATAGCCATAAAAACTCACATTGTAAATTAAATTTTCCCAGAATAAGCACATGTTAGAAATACACTATATAATCTTGTCATTTTTTTTCTTTTTTTTTTAAATATCCAAATAATATTCTTAGAGAAGACAGCCCTCTTTATTTCTCTATATTACTTTTCTACCTTATCTAAGACAATGTTTGCCTTCAAAGCTATTGTCTTGCTAATATGGATGTCACATTTTTTTATTATTTTGTCACCCCATCTTTCTATTAGATTCATCAACAATATAGAAACCAGAAATCAAACAATGATTTCAGAATTTATTCTACTGGGAATATCAGATGATCAAGAACTGCAGCCCGTCATATTTAGCCTGTTTCTGATCATGTACCTGGTCACTGTTTTCGGGAATCTGCTCATAATCCTGGCTGTCACCTCTGACTCCAACCTGCACAATCCCATGTACTTCTTCCTCTCCAATCTCTCCTTTACTGATATCTGTGTGAGCACAACTACAATCCCAAATATGCTTGTGAACATCCAGACACAGAATCACAGCATCACTTATAAAGGCTGTCTAAACCAGATTTTCTTTATCATAGGTTTGTTTTGTTTTGAAAATTTTATTCTTGCTGCAATGGCATATGATCGCTATGCAGCCATTTGTCACCCACTCAGGTACACAGTCATCATGAACTCTTACTTCTGTGGCCTGCTGATTCTACTTTCCCTGTTCATTAGTATGGTGAATGCCCTGATCCACAGTCTGATGGTTTTGCATCTGTCCTTCTGCATAGATGTGGAAATCCCTCAGTTCTTTTGTGAACTTACTCGGGTACTTAATATTGCCTGTTCCAATACCCTCATTAATAACATCCTAATATACATTTCTGGTGGCATATTGGCTGGTATCCCTATCTCTGGAATCATTTTCTCTTACACTCGCATTGTCTCCTCTGTTTTGAAAATATCATCAGCTGAAGGAAAATATAAAGCTTTTTCCACCTGTGGGTCTCATCTTTCAATTGTTTCTTTATTCTATGGGACATCTTTAGGTGTGTACTTCAGTTCACCATTTACAAACTCTCCCAAAAAGACAGCAGCAGCTTCAGTGATGTACATTGTGTTCCCTCAAATGATGAATCCTTTTGTTTATAGTCTGAGGAATAGAGATATAAAGGTAAGTTTAAAGAAATTAATTGGTAAAAAGCATTGCTTTTTGTGATTGTGTCATTTCTTCCAATCCATTAATTATTGAAATGTGTCATTTGCAAATGTCATCTATACAGCAGCAGCAGCATCAATCACACTCAATTTCACCATTTGCAAAATAAGAAAATAGTGTAATTTTTTCAGTGATTTTAAATGGTTGTGAAATGTTAGGATATCAATGGCCAAAGCTGCTGAAACTAATAATTAAAATGATTTCAGAAACAGGCATGTTAAAAAATATAGGGAGCTTTTAGAAGTACTTTCAATAGAAAGAGTTCAGATATAGGGAATATACAGGAAGAGGACAATAGTGCATCATTTGTCTACATGTAATGACTTCATGCTAAGATTCATTTCCCTCATTGTGTCTAGATTTCTATGACAGATAAGTATGTACTACCACATATGATACCCAGGGAGAAAAAATTGACATTCTTTCCTGGATATATTAATAAGATACCTTTGAATTCAGTCATCAGAAGGTATGTCTCCTGTACTGGGTTATGTGGTTGGCCACAAAATGGAATTTCCATGTCCTAATATTTAAAGTCCTGGTGTGTTATAATAGGATTTTACTGGACTACTAGCACAAGTTTGTTGGTTCAAACCCAACAGCCACTCTTGGAAACCCTATACAGGGTCGCTATAAGTGAGAATTCACTCAACAGCCCTTAACAACAGCAACAACATTTGGAAAATATAAATATTACTGATATGATTTTGTGTGCATGTTAAATTAACTGGACTTTGTTAAATTAATGAACATTAAATTAATGAATCTTTGTAGAGGAGAATAAGGTTGCATTATCCTGGCAAACTTAATTTTAACCACATATGTATTCAGAACATAGACAGTGCATAAGAGACAAACAAATATTGGATGTCAGAGGAATAATAGAAGAAACATGGTTTCTATTCAAGGAATACAAGAAACTACAAAGCTCTTTCTGATGCAGAAAAGGGAAATAAGTGTTTTCTCTCACAGGCTTATAAGGTAGTGATTCACTATCAACACTTTGGTTTCTGACTTCCAGCATTAAGATAATAAATTTATCTCTTAAAACAAACAGATTTGTGGTAATTTTTATGATAAACAAAGGAAACTCATGTACTCTTTCATCAATAATAAAAACAGGATAAAATACATTTTCTTTATATAATTCCAGAAGTAGGAGGCAATGGTTACTAGATGAACCTTAAATGGGCCATCTGGAGTGTAATTCAATTGATAAATCTACCATAACCACGATAAACACTTCATACAATGCCTACCACATAGTAAGCACTCAGTAACACTCAGCTATCATCATGTTTAATTATATTACCAATATTTATGAGGCATGAGATTCTTTTACTCACACATAATTTTGTACTTCTTTCATTCATTATATTTTCTTGGCTTTATTTTCACAAATATCATTGACTTTTTCTGTCTTAGCTATATAGAAATGTGTTTTAAATTTCTCCTTATTTATGTGCTATGGTACTTCTTACTCTTCTTTGGAAGGTTCTACAAATATATTCCTGATTGAGTAAGGATACTCTTGTATATTTTACTATTGCCTGGCACCTAACAACAACAACAGTCTTAGGCCACTCATCCAACATTTAATGTTCCTTTATGAGGAAAACCATTTTTCTCACTTTATTTTAGGAGGATATGGTAAGTGCAAAACAAGACAGGAGAAGAAGTGAATTGGCAGGATTAAGGAGACAACTTTCCCCAAGGACATAATAGCTAGACTATAAGTCAGAATCCTCTCTATGGATGTACAAACTACAAATATGTGTCTCACAGGAGAAACAAGAGAGTGCTGAGAGAGCTTTTTATTCAGCTCCTCAGAGTATATAGAGATCACAGGATAAATTCTGTTTAGCACTACTATAGGGAAATAGACAACCAAGGTACTTTCTAGTACTGAGCTTCCTCCACAGAATTCTTTCTGAGATGATCTACAGGAGGCCCTTGTTTATAAAGAAAATATCTGAATTTACCCAAAAACTGTTGCTGTTGTTAGGTGCCATGGAGTTAGTACTGACTCATAGTGACCTTAGAATTTCAAGGGACACATCTACAGGATGAGTCTATCTAACATGACTTTTTGACATCCTGATGTACTCAAGTCTTTGAAGCATATATTTCTTATTTGAAGACCCTATGTTTATAAATTGAAATAAGAACTGCCTTTCTTCAGTATTACTAGTGAAGATAGGATTTAGAAATTGGTGGATAAAATATATCTGTGGTTCTTATGGAATACCAATATAATGACAAAATATACACCCATCACTAGGTTAAGAAATAAAGCATTATCATCACCATAGCAACCATTTGAAGAGTCACCCAATATTATCATACTTCTCAACTTCAGTGATGATTAATTTATTACATTTTGTATTCATCAATTATTTGGAATTCTATTATTAAGTGTATTCTATGGAATTGCCAGTATTTGAGAATATCTGTCCTAAAATCTCTGTAATTATCATAGGTTCTAACTTTAAAAAAAATAATAATCTTAGCATATAGTTACTGTGATTATTGTTAAGTGCCATCGAATTGATTAAGACTCATAGCTACCCTATGTAGGGTTTCCAAGGAGTGGCTAGTAAATTTGTACTGCAGGTCTTGCTGTTTAAACAGACTTTGAGGGCCAGTTCTTTATCTGACAGTGCCACACCAGGACTAATCTAGGTCTCTAGATTACACAAACTGTTATATCAAGTGTATATACCTCTATAATTATTAAATACATTTTACTCTTTTAGAACTTCTGACAAGTATAACTGTTTTTTGTTGATATTGTTTTTACTCTGGTAAAATATATCTGATAAAAATTACACATGCAAATTTTCTAAAGCTTACATTTCAAAAGCATTAACTGCATCCACATGTTGCACAGTCTTTACCTACATATGGATTTAGAAGTTTTTAAACACCCCTCATAAAAAAAAAAAAAAAACAACTATATAGTTATTAGTCAATCACTCCCAACCATTTCTCTCAATGTTCTTACAACCAATTAAATGCTTTCTACCTCTACAAATTTCTTAATCTGATATTCCTTATAAATAAAATTCTAAAAATATGAACTTTTGTATCTGATTTCTTTTACTTAGAATAATATTTAAAGGTGCATTAATATTATAACATGTGTCAGTACTTCCTTGTGATTTTAGATTATATACCAGGTGAATAATGGCCAGGAATCTTGATGAGATATTGTATGATCAGCACTGGAGTGCTAACCATAAGGTCTGCAGTTCAAGCCCATCAGTAACTTATTGGAACTCCACAGTCATTTTGAGTTAGAATCGACTTTACAGAATTTAGCAACAACAACAATAGAAGTTTTACAATGTTTGTTTATCCATTCTTCTGTTTATGGACATTTGAGTGGTTTTCACTTTTTACCTATTCTGAGGAATATTATAAATGTTTTTGTATAACTTTTGGGGTGCTTATCTGTTTTTATATCTCTTGGGCATTAGCTATGATTGAATTGCTGTGTCAAATATTACATCTATATTTATTCATTTAAGATATTGTCAAGTTATTTACCAAAGTTACTGAACATTTTAACATTTCCACAACACTTTATAATATTTCTCTATTTTTTTTTTTGCAACCTTACCAACACTTTTTATTTTCAATTTTTATTATTACTATAAGGTCTCTAGATTACACAAACTGTTGTATCACTTCTAAACAAAATGCTAAAGGTTAAAAACAACACAATGACAAGCAGGAGATAGAATTGGATATCTGCTACCATAAAAATTATCACCAAAAAACCACTAAGGGTCAGTTCCATTTAATCACATGTGGTCAACATGAGTCCACATTGAGCAATTATTGTTATTATTATTGTAATAAAAAGCATATGAAGTAATTCCTCATTATGGCTTTGAGATGCATTTCCAGATGGATACTGATTTTGAGTATCTTTTCAGTGGCTTGTTGGCCATTTGCATGTCTTAAGAAAATATCTCTCCAAGACACTTTCATATTTTAATAATGTATATGTTTTGTTTCTAAAATTTAAAAGATTATTATATACTACCACATATGTGAAGCTCCACTAATGTATGTCACTGAAAGATAACTATTGGACTTCTAACACATGATCATCAGTTCAAACTCACCAGAATCTCCTTTGAAACCCTATAGAGAGTCACTGTAAGTCAGAAATGTTTTAACAGTTTGCAAAACAACAACAATCAAATATATAATTTAAAATATATTTTCATGCTGGGGGTTACCTTTTCACTCATTTGATAATTTAATTGTATGAATTAATTTGTCTAATGCCAGTTTGTCCTCCTGTAGTGGCTTGTGTGTTGCTGTGATTTTAGATACTATATTATAGATATTTTAAATACAAGCTGAGTCACTCAAGTTGGATGGTTTCTAGTGAGATTCCAGACAAAGACAGACTGGGAAGTGAGAACTATGAACTTCCTCCTTATATTTATTCACTAAAAGCCTAAGAAATAGCAGTGAAAATCTGTCAACACCAGAATATTGAATATTGAAACGTGATGGAGAAGACCAGAATATTTTCTGATAAAGAACCGAAAGATGGTCCACTCAGGATACAATGCAGAAAAAATGTAACTGGGGAAGAGCTGACTCCAAAAAGAAGAATTGGCCACGATGACATAAATGGAGTAAAGTCCTAGGGACTTCATTTGCTGATGGAGCACATCTCAAAATGAAGAGAAACAGTTGCAAACATCCATTAGTTATCAAAACATGAAATGTATAGTGTATAAATCTTGGAAAATTGGAAATTGTTAACAATGAAATGGAACACATAGCTATCTGAGATATTTATGACTGGAAATGGACTGGCATTAGCCATTTTGAATCTGACAATTACATGGTTTACTATGCCTGGAATAATAAATTGAACAGGAACAGCAGCACATTTATTATAAAAAAAGAACATATCAAGATCTGTCTTGACGTACAATGCTGTCTATGAAAGGAGACTATCCATACACCAGTTA